CTCGGCGCAGGCTTCCGCCAGCGGCTGCAGCAGCGCGTTGTCCAGCAGCCCGATGCCGTAGGCGAAGATGCTGCCGTGCACCGACCACGGCAGGTCGTACCCGTTGGGCCGTGTGGTCCATCATGTCCCACACCAGCACGCAGCAGTCGCTCTGCCGGATGAACTCAGGCACGACGTATGCAGACCCGGCCGCTGCGTCGGTCGCTGCCCCAGATGGCGTTGCCGTCGGCGTTCCACTTCTCTCGGCCACCGTACACCACCAGGGCGTCGCCCGGCTCCATCTGCACACCCTTGGGCGTCGCAGATATCCTGCAGTTCCCAGGAATGGATCGGTGTTTCCTGGGTCACGTAGTCGGTGCCCCGGTGGCGCGGCACGTCCAGCAGCACTCCCCGCGTGATGATGCCTTCCTTCCAGTGTTCCACTGACCCGTACTTGGCTCCGTCGAACTGGATCATCTCGTTGGGGTCCTTGCCGTTCCACATCCCGTTGTGGTCCCAAACGTGGCACAGGCGCGTCCAGGTGGGTGGTGGCGGTGCCGTGGTACGAGATGCCGTAGTAGTCGGTGGACATGCCGCCGCCCGGCTCGCGGGGGCCCTTGCGCATGTAGTGGATGGCCGGCGTGGGATTGTTGGGCGCCGGCGTTACTGGGAACTCCCGGCTCAGTGAAACGGCCCGGCCGGTCTGGACCAAGCCCGCCGCACGCAGCCGCTTGGCGTCGTCAACCATGTTGACCGCGCCCTTCTGGTCATCCGGACCCCAGCGGCCCCAGTTGGTATCGTCCTTGAGATAACCGAGGACTTCCTCTTTACTGGGCGCTTGTCGGTTGGTGGTCATGTGCGTCCCTCCGTTTCGGCGCGAACACTGCCGCGCCGGTTGCGTTCGACGCAAGGTTGCCACCATGCGGTAGGAATGGCAAGCGTACAAACGAAGAGAGTGCCGTTATTCGACCACGCGACCAACCGCGCTTGAGGCAGGTTTATCTCCTGCAGCCATTTGCTAGGCTACGGAGTAGTCAACAGAATTTTCCGACCGTTCCTAGTACGAGTGATCCGCCCCGCATTTTCCAGGTAAGTGATCAAATTTGCTACGCGGCGGCCATCTGTTTGGTTGATGTGCACTTTGACGTCTGGCTGCAACAGATTCGGATGGGACTTAACCGCCTGTTCGATACGATCATGAATATCTGCGTCTTCAAGACACGTCTCAATGTCGTAAGCGTAGTTGCGGAGTGATGGAGTGGAGTTGATCGTTTCGAGCATGCTGCTCAGCAATTCTCGCTCGCCCATTACGGCCAGGACTTTGATCCCATGGGTCATGATCGGGAGGTGGAGATCCAAACGATCCCTCCCGCTTGCAAAATTGACCAAATGCTTGAAGTTCGCCTGTATCAAGGGCATCGCCGCGTCATACCGGTGAACGCGGATCAACTCAGACATTTCATCCATTGTGCGATAGTAATCCCCACTGGGGAATTCGCCGTCACCTTCGTAGTCGAAGTCTTTGTCGTCCAATTCGATGCTGAAATCGGGTTCGTACGCTTCGACCGTGAACCTTATGAAACCTTGGCAATGAGGGCACTGGAAACCCCGCGCGCTGGTAGAGATGTCCTGGTCGTTCATCTAGCATTCTCCATCGGAAAGCATGTGCAGGAGCTAGGAATGTAGTGCCCAGTATCATACCGTTTCCACTCTTACGGCATTGGACACATGCTCTGGCCCCAGATCCGTCGCGTGCAATCAAAAATCCCAGTCCCGACCGTGGTAGCAGGCTTCCCAGAACTGGTACTCGTAGCGCAGCGTCGTGCGGAAGATGCGCTCCAGGTTCGCCCGCTTGGTCGCGCCGGCCCGCTCGCCGGCGTCGTTCAGCCGTTCCGTGAACCAGGCCACCACGTCGCCCAGCACGTCGGGATTGTGGATGTCGATCCAGCCCTGGTACACGGCGTTATTCGGCTGCGCGCCGGAGTTGATCAGCCGTTCCGCCCAGTCCAGGTAGGTGCCCTCGGTCACGTAGAACAGGGCCAGCAGGTCATCGAAATCACCCTCCAGCGCGGTCCGCACCATGAAGTCGCCAAACCCTTGCGTGACGGGGTTGGCCTCGGTCTCCAGGTACTGCTCCGCCGTAACCCCCAGGTCGTGAAACCCGTTCAGGAACAGGTCGTTCTCCGCGGACAGGAAGTTGGACAGGAACCCGTTGAGTATCTTGCCCGCGTCGTAGTCCGGCGCGGCCTTGGCGATGGCGATGGACGTCAGCTTCACCAAATCCTTGCAGAAGACATAGTCCTGCCGGAAGTAGCTGCGGAACTTGGCGATGTCCAGGCTGCCATCGCCCATCTCCAACACAAACGGATGCGTGACCATCGACTCCCACTGGTCGTGATACTTCGCGCGCAGTTCGTCGGTCAGGGCCATAACACTTGCTCCATGAGGCGATGATTGAGGTCTGGGTGATTGAGGTCTGGATAATTGTGGTCTGAATGAATGTCATTGCGGCCGACGCGCGGCAATCTCGCCGGGCGCAGCAGCCACAGTCGCCGGGGCTGGTCTGACCGGGGCTGGTCTCACTGGAGCTGGATTGCCGGTCCGCCGCGCTCCCCGCGATACCGACGCGCAGCACTCACGCCGACTCGGCCAGGCAGCCGAAGAAACCGGTCCATCATCCCCTTGGCCACCGAGCCCATCATGCGCTGTCCCACCCGTGCCGCCGCCCCACCCACCTGGCCGTCGGTGTCCACGTGCAGGTCGGTCCCGCCGCCCGACGCGGGCGTCAGCGTGACGCTGGACACGCCGTTGACGAAACCCAGGTTGCCGGAACCTTCGATGGTCATCCGGTAGGAATGGGGCGGGTTGAGCTCGGACAATGCCACCGTCGCCGTGAAGTTCCCACTGATCGGGCCCACCCGCACCGTCGCGCTGGCCCGGTAGCGGTCCGGTCCATCGGCTCGATGCTGCGGCAGCCGGGGATGCAGCCGGCCAGCACGTCGGGATTCATCAGCGCGTCCCAGACGTCCTGCGGCTCCTTGTCGAAATGGTAATCAGCAGAAAGTTCCATAGCGCGCCGATTATAGCAGGGACGTCAGCGCTTGATGCTGGGCCCGGCTTCCTTTGATCGCGTACCTGGGGGTAATCGTCACCCCAGCGCAAGAGCCCTCAATAGGTGAATGCACCAGTGTCTAGTCCAGCCCCATCCGCCGCAGCGTGTAGGCGTCCCCGGCCATAATCTCCGCAATCCTCGGCGGCAGGCCGCGAAAATCATCGGTCGCCGCCGAGATCAATCTACCGGTCAGTTCCCCGCTGTCTTCCGACGCCAGCCACACCGCCAGCTCGGCGCACTCGTCAATGGACGCGCCCCCGCCCGACGTGACCCTCATCCCAAGTTGGTGGATGAAGTCCGCGCCCGCCTCTGCCGCTTGCTCGGTCATTTTGTCCCACATGCTGGTATGCACCGAGCCCGGCCCCAGGGCGTTCACCGTGATCCCCCTGCCATCCAGTTCCTGGGCCAACACTTCGGTGAGCCGCACCACCGCCGCCTTGCTGGAACAGTAGGCCGACATATTGCTCCAGGCATTGGTCGCCCCCGCGCCCGACAGGTTGATGATCTTTCCGCCGATTGCCCCAGCATCACGGGTATAACGGCGCGACATACCAGGAACGTGCCGGTGAGGTTGACGCTGATGGTGTTCACCCAGTCTGCGATGTCGTTGCCCCTGCAACGGCCCGACCGGGCCGGAGTTACCCGCGTTGTTGACCAGCACGTCAATCCGCCCGAATCGATCAACCACTCTACGGGCCAACCGTTCCGTATCTTCCTGGCTGGTGACGTCGGTGGGGACGGCCATCGCTTCGGCGCCCAGCTCCGATACGGCCCCGACGGCCTCGTCCAGCTCCTTTTCGTTGCGAGCGGCCAGCGCCAGCTTTGCGCCTTCCCGGGCATAGGCCAGGGCGATGGCCCGTCCAATGCCTCTACCGGAACCCGTGATGACTGCTACCTGACCTTCCAATTTCATGGCATAACCTCGCCGGAATTACATTACCAACCAGGGAGTTTGGTCCCCATGGTTGGCTCCTAATCGTCACCGCCCGAAGCGACAGTTAGTCGAGCACGATGCTGTCCCCGTTTGGCCATAAAGAGTAGCCACACTTAGCCGCCGTTACCGGAACCGCACGGCGCGAAACGACGCGAGGGGCAAGACCCATATATGTGAGTGCCGACCCGAATCAGTCTCCGGCGGCCGGGTTGCGCTGGGTTCCGGCCGGCGTTGTCGGCTGATCCGACGCCGCGGCTGCCGGCTGCGGCGGTTCAGGCTCTTTCTTCGCCGGGAACACTGCCCGGTAAATCCCGTAAACGAACCGCAGCCCGAATTCCAGGACCACCAGAAACACCAGGTAGTAGAAGATGGTGTCGGCCAAACCGATGATCTGCCTCAAAACCTCCAACGACGCCTCCACGTCGAAGAAAGACGTGTCGATCACGAAAATCGCCAATACGGCAAAGGGTAGGATCTTCGACAGGTCACGGGACAGGTCCTCGTTGTAGTACGCGCACACTCGTATGGTGCTCACCGTCGCCAATGCGATCAGCAGTATGTCCGACATCTCACGCCCTTCCGACAGGAAAGACAGCATCAGCGTGAGAACCGCGAACCAGAAAAACGCGAACGCCGGAAACAGGATCACATACTTGGCGAGATACCCCCATAAGGTGCAGAAAGTCACGCAGCACCGGGATGCCCGAGTCGTCATGCTTGGAAAAGTCCAGGTTGAACATGTCCCGTCCGGCGATGAACCGGTAAAACTTGAAAATGAACACCGCGTAAATCGCCATGCCCAGGGCATACACCGCCACGGGACCCAGAACCCGCAGCGCCTCGCCCACGCTCAACCCGACGGGGAACAATGCCTCAATTCCCGAAGTCCCCATACGCCCCTTGTCGCCCTTGCTCAAGCGGAGCTTGCCGGTTGCGACTCCGCTAGCTCCATCAGGAAAAACCGTAGATCGCCGACTACCGTTCATCCGCCAGCAGCAGCGCGTTCAGCAGCACCTGCGCCCCGTTGGCGCAGTCTTCCGGCGTGGTGTGCTCCGCCGGCGCGTGGCTGATACCGCCCACGCTGGGCACGAACACCATTGCCGCCGGAGTAATTGCGGCGATGGCCTGCGCGTCGTGACCCGCACCACTGGGCAGGCTCACGTGCTCCAGTCCCGCCATACCGGTCGCGTCCGCTATCAGTTGCTGCATGTTCCCGGAGACGGGCACCGACGGAGTGTTGCGCTGGGCCGTTACGGCCACGGCCACCTGCTCGGCGTGCCCCACTTCCTCGGCGGTGCGGCGCAGTTCCACCTCGGCCGCAGCCAGCGATTCCATTCGTTCGTCCCGGAACTCCACGCCCATCTGCACTCGGCCCGGGATCACGTTGCCCGCGTTGGGATGAACGTCCATCGAGCCCACCGTGCCCACCCGGCACACCTCCATCTCGCCGGCAATGCGGCGCACGGCCAGGGCGATCTGCGCCGCCGCCGACATGGCGTCCCGCCGCAGCGCCATGGGTGTCGTCCCGGCGTGGTTTGCCTCGCCCACGATGTCCACGTGGTACACCGAGCGACCGGTTATCCCGGTCACAACTCCGATGGGAAACCCGCCCCGGTGCAGGGTAGGACCCTGCTCGATGTGTAGTTCCAGGTAGCATGCCAGCTCTTCGGGCCGGCGGCGCGCGGCATCAACTCGCGAGATGTTGCCGCCAATGCTCGGCAGTGTGTCCGTCAGGCTGGTCCCGTCGTCGTCTACGGCGGCGAAGTCCTCCGGCTCCCACAGGCCGGCCACGGCCCGGCTGCCCAGCAGCCAGCGATGGAAGCTGGTGCCCTCCTCGTTGGTGAACACCATAACCTCGACCGGATGCCGCGGCGTGACTCCCGCGTCTCGCAACGCCTCCACCGCCTCGATGGCCCCGATCACCCCCAGCGCCCCGTCATACGCGCCTCCGCTGGGTACCGTGTCGGTATGCGAGCCGAGCACGATGGCGGGCATGGCCGGCTCGGTCCCTTCCAACCGGCCGATGATGTTGCCAGCTGGGTCGATGCGCACGGACATGCCGGCGCCGCGCATCAGCGCGCTGACGTAGTCGCGGCCGGCAACGTCCTGCCGGGAGAAAGCCACCCGCTGCATCCCGAACTCGTCCCGCCCGATCTGCCCCAGGGCGTTCAGGTTGTCGTTCAGGCG